GAATCATGACTGTCAAGTATGTAGTTGCAGAGAATGCCATGTCTATTCCCTTGGTCTTTCTGTAATACATATTAACACAGCTTCTAAGATTTTACTGACAAATTATAAAAGATTTTTACTCCTAAATAGGAAACACCTTGATGTTTCCAGAATTCCCAATGTAATTACAAATTTATTTAAAGCAACAGGGGGCAACTCGTTCTATTTTACTTATATTTACTAATCCGTGCAGGCAATTTCACAGTTCATTTACATTGTATTACAACACTTTTACCAATGATAAAGTTACTGAAATTCTTGCAAAGTATTAAAGCATCGGTCATTTCTAATGATTTTTTTTTTCCTCAATGAGCAGACAAGATCTGTGTGTATTATAAATCTTTTCACTCATTCAAAAAAAGTGTTTATCATTTGTAGAAGTCCACAGGTGTCATAATGTAGAGCGAAGATGGAAGTATTTTATTGAAAATCGAAGGACAAAAAAGATACAATATTTCAGCCTTTAGACATTAATCATATATTCATGAATGTATTATTAACCACCTAAAGGCCCGAAATGTGTCTTTTTGTGCTTTGATCTTCACACTGCATTGTGACGTATATGGACTTTACTTTTGCATTTTCCTGTTGGATGGCGGTTCGCCCTCCAAAGTACTTTTTACTTGTGTGCAGTACTCCTTGGACTTTATATGTTTATTATAGGTGTTATTAAGGGGTGGCTTTAGGGGCTAAAGCCCAAACCCACGATACCGTCAGGGGACAATAAGATGAATTATTGAGATCATACATATATGTATGAAGTAGGGATCCAGTGCTCCTATGAATAGTACAGGCTGCATTTCTCTACCATTTTTAATTATATTCCCTACCCAATAAAACAGATGTACTTCTTTCCCGACTTCAAAAACAAAAATGCCGCAATCACAGTTTAGCATCACAAGCTGTAAATTAACGATTCGAGAAACAAGGAAAGCCAGGGATGCTGAGCTGAAACTCTCCAAAGCATTCTGGAATCTGGATACAGGTTCTCTGAAATCCATGCATTATTCTTTAGGAATATAAGTTGGCGTTATTTTAATCCACATATTCACAATCTGGAACTTATATAGATCAATGCGGTGTTTCTCCTGATCTTTTGTATAACCCACATATACAAACTAATTAGTAGAATGAAAATTATACTTTAGAAAAAAAAGACATCTCCAACTCAAAATTCAGGCAATATCGGTTTTCGGGATAGGATTCTGTTGCTCAGAATGACATAATCAGCGATATCGTGTTTCCTTACATCAGCAAGTAACATACATTTTTCAACCAGCTAATGTCAGAAATTATCCTACTAAAAACAGCCGTAACGTAGGAAATACATGTTTAATAGATTATTTTACGTTTAAGTGCACAGTAGAAATATTTTTGTCAAATTAACCCTCTGGTGTCTATTACATAACACTTGCATGTAGGCTCGCCAAAGTCTCTGTCATCTAAATAAACATCAATCATTTTTAGTATTTGGCTTAAAGGAACACTATAGAGAGACAGGAATACAAACATGGCTGGGCTCATCAAAACAGACAAGCTCAGCCAATCCAATGCTTTCCCATAGGAAAGCATTTGGAGACTATTGCGCATGCACTGCAAAACATCATACTGCGCCAATCAGCATCTCCTCATAGAGATGTATAGAATCAATTAATCTCTATGAGGAGCGTTCAGTGTCTCCATGCAAATTCCAAGTATACAAAACTGACAAAGCACACGTGTTTGTAGGTTGTCCATTAACCCCTTAAGGACCAAACTTCTGGAATAAAAGGGAATCATGACATGTCACACATGTCGTGTCCTTAAGGGGTTAAAATACTTATATTCACTGGTTTAATAACAACTTTGTTTAAAGGACCACTATAGTGCCAGGAAAACACACCGGGCTCTGAGGGGGGGAGGAAGGGGTTCAACTTACCTCTTTCTCCAGCGCCAGGCGGGTAGCTCTCCTCCTCGGCTGAATGCGCATGCGCGGCAGGAGCCACGCGCGCACAGCCAGTCCATAGGAAAGCATTCACAATGCTTTACTATGGACGCTGGCGTCTTCTCACTGTGAAAAATCACACTGAGAAGCACGCAAACGCCTCTAGCGGCTGTCAAGAGACAGCCACTAGAGGCTGGATTAACCATATTATAAACATAGCAGTTTCTCTGAAACTGCTATGTTTATAGAAAAAAAGGGTTAACCCTAGAAGGACCTGCCACCCAGACCACTTCATTAAGCTGAAGTGGTCTGGGTGCCTATAGTGGTCCTTTAAGAGCAAACAACTGATGCATTCCTTTATAGAGTACAACTTCTAGACTTCTAGTCACAGACTAAACACCTTCATTCCACCTTATGTTATTTTTACCACTTTCAAATATATCTATTCGGAAATTCTTGTATGGTTCATTTAACCCGCAATTGTGGAAACACAGCTAGAGGACTGGAAATATTATGGATAAGGTGGACAAACAAGAAAAATTCTGCAATACTCCATTTTTCCTTGTCAGATATTTTGTTTTATAATGTCCAACTGCTCGTTTCCCCATTTCCAGTTTATTGAATAAACCCCTAGATGTATACTTTTGTACAGGTATCAGTATCAGGGCAAGTTAACAAAGGCATAGACACACACAGCGGTGTGACAGATAACAATCCCCACAGAAGAGTAAAAATAAAAGCAGGTTTTACAAAGCCTTACCCTGATAATCTGAAGCCATCTGTTCAATCTAATAGTGGCTTCTGATCACCAAGGAAACAAGTCAACTATGTGCTTTCAAAAGGAAAAGTAACATGGAGCCTTGGCTGGGACATATTTAAATACACTGCCAGGATGCAGGGCTGCCCACATTGCATAGGAGGATGTAGGAGTGTAGAAATCAATGACAGTAGGGACACCATATGCATCAACAATTATGTAGGCCTGCCCTGGCCCACAGTCGCTGAGGCTTAGCAGCAAAAACAAAATACAAAAAAATATATATATAAATGCATATTTCTAAAAATATCCAGCAGACCTATATTTTTCCCAGATCTTGCATTCCTCAAGAATAAAGCACACTTCAGTTACAGTTTCTTGTACGTTTGACCAGCTGACCTGCTTTAATGTAAAGAATTCCCAGAGCTCCGAAGGCAGAGTGCCAGTGTGATCTGAGGCATGGGAGCAATAAGCCTTAGGCATAATTTATAATTAATAATAAACCATATTAAGGGCATGAAACAGAGGCAAATGCACTAGAATTCTCCTAGAGGCATACTCTGCCATTCAAAGGATTCTTTGAAAAGCGTTGGAAGCAGTGGCCCTGTTACACATTATTCAGTCCTACTTCTAAATCCGGAACTAGAGTTATTCTGCATTTAATGTAGCAGGACATTTAAAGACACAAATGTATTCAGGTTAGCGGTTTATTTTTCCTCCACACCCAGTAGTGATCATTGAATAGTTGGCAGCGAACATACTGAAAGCCTGGTTTCAACCAGGGATTTCTAATATTGGGTGGGCTCTCCTTCTATAGCTGTCTGTGACTCCAACAATTCTCAGCTGGTTGTTCATGCTGGCCAGAGACCATGGGAGTTATAGTTGAAAAACAGTTTGGAGGACACAGTTAAGTTGGTAATTTCATGTTAAACCTTAACAGCAATAATGGAAATGTTAACCATGCACAGCTTGGTGGAAGGCGTTCCTCATACAGAGGCGACCACATTAAGACTAGTAAGACAAGTAGATTTGTGAGATGACTATGACTTAGTACCACACAAAGGGCTAATTCATATAGGCATATATACTGGGGTAAGATCTGTGAGATGACTATGATTTAGTACCACACAAAGATGGCTAATTCCTATATAGGCAGTTACACTGGGGTAAGACTTGTGAAACGACTATGACAGTACCACACAAAGAGGACTAATTCATATATAGGCACACTATTTACACTGGGTAAGACTTGTGAAATGACTGACTTAATACCACACAAATAGGACTAATTCCTATGGTTTAGTTCACAGAAACATAAAAGAACATTTATGTTCCGTACCCTTAAGAGCTTTGTTCATGTGTGAAAATGCATGGAAATTGTTTATTTTTACCCCACAGTGAGGACACTTAAAGTATCTAGTTAAAGGATGTTAAAATCATGCTGATGAAGCAGCAGAGAAATAACATTAAATGAAATGGCACTCACTGTTGGATTAATGGCAGGTAGTGATGTCCCGAACTGTTCGCCGAACGGTTCGCCGCGGACTCCAGTCAGCAGACACATTCCAGCCAATCAGCAGCAGATCCTCCCACCTCCTGGACAGCATCCATTTTGAAGCTGCATTCTTAGTGAGCTGTCCAGGAGGTGGGAGGGTCTGCTGCTGTTCGGGACATCACTAATGGCAGGATCTGTAAAATAGCAGGACGAAGCCTTACTTTTACTATATCGAAGTGTAGGGATGCTGGGATGAGGGATACAGGTAGGATACTCAGGTGCTAGGGATGTGTATGGTACTGCCTGGAAGGTTGTTGATATTGCTCCTTGGACAGGATGGCTCCTGATGGGGCTGCCCTAGGAGGCTAACAGAGATACATTTGGAGGGAGCTGATACCCTGGGAAGTTGTTGGTTCTGCATGGGAATGGGGCTGCCTCGGGATGATGCTTCCTGTGGGTTTTTCTGCCTACTGATAAAGAGTATGATGCTGATGGTACTTTCTGAGAATGTTGGTGGTGCCTGGGTATAATGGGAATGATGGTGATGTCTAGGATACAGGCTGGGGATGGTGGGGAGGGAGGATACAGGCTGGGGGTGATGAGGGGAGGGAGGATACAGGCTGGGGGTGATGAGGGGAGGGAGGATACAGGCTGGGGGTGATGGGAGGGAGGGAGGATACAGGCTGGGGGTGATGGGAGGGAGGGAGGATACAGGCTGGGGGTGATGGGAGGATACAGGCTGGGGGTGATGGGAGGTGGGATGCTGTCACTGTGTCTGTCACCTACCGGCCGCTGACATGAAATCCGTGGTATCCCTGCGGACATTGCTCCGGCCGCTCATTCGGCTGTCTCCGCCATCTTCCCGTTGCTCCCCGGGGTCCGGGCATGTGCCGGCCCAGGCTGCTCGCTCCCGACCGGCAGCCATCCCACATCGGGGAGAGAGAGGGACCGTGCGCGCTCCCGGGACAGCGCGCGTCCCCGCGTTCAATGGGGAGAGAGGGGCGGGAGAATATGGGGATAGGGCGGGGCTAATACAGGAGGGGGCGGGGTTACCAGCCGGAGTAGCATTATACTGCTTCTTATAGGAGGGGGCGGGGTTACCAGCCCGAGTAGCATTATACTGCTTCTTATAGGAGGGGGCGGGGTTACCAGACTGGGCAGCATTATACTGCTTCTTATAGGAGGGGGCGGGGTTACCAGACTGGGCAGCATTATACTGCTTCTTATAGGAGGGGGCGGGGTTACCAGACTGGGCAGCATTATACTGCTTCTTATAGGAGGGGGCGGGGTTACCAGCCCGAGTAGCATTATACTGCTTCTTATACGAGGGGGCGGGGTTACCAGACTGGGCAG